GTTAGGGTTAGGTGGGGAAAGACGCAGGGGAGGGCGGCAAGGGATGGGTGCGTCTGTCAGGTGCACCCAGGTATTGGGGAGGGGGGGCTGGCAGCTGCTGACAGTCAACTCGCCAGGGTGGGGGCAGCCAAGAGCCCCCCTCCCCCCCAGCCCTCTACCTGGCTCCTTCCCCCCCCAGAAACAGCTGGAGAGTTACCTGAACACCTTGCTGGAGATGAGTGCTTACCGGGACTACCACGCCATGGTACGGGCTCCCCTCCCCTCTCCCCAGTCTGGCCCAAGGGGCAGGGAGGGGGGGTCCCGTGGCTACCCTCTGCTCCTTACCCCCCGCAGGCCGAGTTCCTGGACGTCAGCCGGCTCTCCTTCCTTCCGGACCTCGGCCCCAAAGGCTTGTGAGTGGCGACCTCGGCCCTTTGGCCTGGGGGAGGGGAGGGGTCTGTCAATTTCGGGCAGGGTCTGACCTCCTCCCCTCCCCTCCCCCCCGCCTCCAGAGAAGGCCTGATCCTGAAGCGGTCCGGGGGCCACCGCATCCAGGGCCTGCACTGCGTGGGCCACCACCAGGTCTGCTACCGCTGGTCCAAGAGGTATGTCCCGGGGTGGCTGCATTGGGAGGGGGGGAGAGTTTGCCTTTTATTCCAGGCCCCTCCCTTCCCCCTCCCTCCGCAGGTGGCTGGTGGTGAAGGACGCCTTCCTCCTCTACCTGAAGCCGGAGTCGGGCGTCATCTCCTGCGTGCTCCTCTTCGACCCGGCCTTCAGCGTCCAGGTGGGCAAGAAGCCCACGGAGGCCAAGTACGGCGTCCGGGTGGACAACAGTTGCCGGTCAGTCCAGTCGGGGGGAGGGGGGGCAAAGGGTGGGGGGGTCCAGAGGAGAGCAGAACCGCTGGCCTGGGCCTTTCAGCCAGACGCTCTTTGCCCAGGTGGGGCAGCTTCCACTCCCGGGTGGGCAGAGGCGGCGGGGGGGAGGGACAGCCCCGGGGAGGGGAGCAGGGGGGACCCAGTGTGTCCATGCACACCCCCTCCCTCCTTTGCAGGTCCCTCGTCCTGAAGTGCGGCAGCTACCGGCAGGCCCGTTGGTGGGGGCAACAGATCAGGGAGCTGGCCGCCAGCAAAGGCCGTGAGCACCTGCAGCGCCATCGCCACGAGGGCTTTGCGCCTGTCCGCGAGGGGACCCCCGCCCGCTGGTGAGGAGAGGGGGACCCCCCCCTCCCTGCCCGTTGCTGCCTTTGGTCTGGGGGCCTGGGGGGAAGGGGGGGGCAAGCACATCTGGGGCCGGGGGCCCTCTCCCACCCCTGCGTTCTGCCCCCC